GATTGCAGTTATCATTGAAACAAGGAAACTGGTGTTTCACAGGTTGAAAGTACGAGAAAAGAAGTTGTTGGATTAGTGGAGGATGTGTTTAGCTATTTCAAAATTAAACTGGTCGGACATAGATACCAATCTAGTAGCACGCTTAATTTTAATTATTCGGGGCACCAGGGGGAAAAACTCATCAGAGCAGTTACCTTCGAAATATTTGTAGAAAAGGACAGAGAAGCTACATCACGTGGATAAGAAAGTGACTGAAGTCGAAATGATTGCTCAGAATTGATTCTATTACAGATCCTTCTTTGGATTTTGTCAAGAATCTCTAGATATACAGAAACAATATAAGGAAACAAAATATAGCAGCCGTATTCAGTGTCCGTACAAATAGTAGATTTGTAAATGTGCTAGATAGATTCTGAGGAATATTTTCTGGCACGATACAGTGACCCAAATTTCCTTGCAAGTGGATGCAGCTAATGATTTGATGTAGTCGCTCCAATTTATGTCAGTAGAAAACGTGAGGCCAAGGCGTAGTGTGTTGCTATCCAGGAGTCTAGCATCAACCATGCTGAGGGCATGACAGAAAAGGTCCTTTGTGGTTGATAAATGAAAGCAATTTTGTTTGGTGGCGTTAAAATTTAGAAGCCATTTCTTGCCGCGGTTAAGAACTGATTAGAGGTCCTTTTCAAGAACATCTGCCAGGTTTAATTTGTAAGCTCTGACGGATTTCCTATTAAAACAGAAATAAATGGTAGTGTCATCTGCATAAATACCTATTTGGCAACTAATGAAATTGGGGAGATCAGAAATAGCATAGGGCCAAAGATAGATCCCTGGGGGACCCCCGCGTTTGTATGAAGTTTTCTGGAAGTGAGCCCATGCAAAACGACCTTAATTTCATGATTTGATAGGAACTATTGGGTTAAACCAAATATTCTTCCTGTGACACCGTCGCGCTGGGGAGCTTGTGTAGAAAACTAGCATACCAAATCCTGTTGGAAGCCATCGGAATAACTAGAACCGCAGTCCAATCTTCGGTTCTTATCTAGAACTTGATATACGTAGTCAGTGATGTCCGTTAACACATCAGCGGTAGATCTGGCTAAACAGAAGCCATATTGTTTGTCCGAGACGAGGGCGTGTGAAGTAAGATGCTTAACCACCTCAGCATTGATTAGATCCACCAATACTTTGCTGAAAGGGGTAAGAGACTAATAGGGTGATAGCTATAGGATTCAATGGGTGCTCCAGAGTGTTTGAAAACAGGAACTACAGAGGACTTCCAACAAAATGGAAAGCAGTGCAGGAAGCAGCAAGCCAATTGTTGTAGAATTTGGAGAGAACTGGAAATTATTTCTGAAACCAGTGACTGGGTTATGCGCATATCACACAGTAGAGCCTCCGTTCATAGTGGGAAATCAAGCATAGGTACTCCAGATGAGCCATATGTATGTATGTATGTGTGTATATATAATATATATATATATATATGTGTGTGTGTGTGTGAGTATCTGTTAAAAAATTGCTATTAAAACTTTCAGTGGATTTCTCCTACTGTAGAATACTTCGTTTGATGTGGATGGGCACTTAAATATACATACATATCTAACAGTTTTATAGTATAGATGTGTGTGTGCAGACAGGTATGTTATATATGAAACTGAAAACTTATACATATCACAATCTGATCAAAGGAAACGGCACATATATAGATTCAGTGTACCTTGGTCGGACTGATATTTTTTCAGCATTCCTTCGGATATATGCATCCACTGAAATACGTATGTTGGTGTATACGTAAAATGTATGTATATGAAATCGTATATTGTCGCAGATGTATGTCTATAAATATGGCAGGGAAGAACATTGAACAGTTATGATAAAAGCAGAGAAAAAATAAAAAAACTGAAGAGAGAACTGAAAGAAAGCCATACGCTGAACTGGAATAACGAATTTTGGGAGGAAAACATTAAATCCCGAAAGGAATAAACAATAAATTGCAGAACAGACGTGATGACATGAGAAAGGAATCCAGAAATAACAAAAGGAAAACCTGAATTAAGCAGAAAATAATTAGAAGCCAAGAAAAAAAAGAAATGCGCAGTTAAAGCAACGAAGAAAGTCGAGGAAAAGACGAAAGTTACTCATGAAAAAAAAAGGGGGATGAGCATAAGAGATTATGGGGGATCAGAAAATGTTCGGGAGTAGAAAGCAAAAAATGTGATTTACTATGCTTGGCTCAGACCGACACAGGGTAAAAACTTCTTCTCAGTGTGAAGAGCCTGCCAGCCTGCATTTCAAATCCTGACTTTTACCTCGACTTTCAAAAGAAAAAAAGTGACCGCTGACGTCTACGACATAAGTAAAGCAAAAGGAAATATAAAAATAATAGATAAAAAGATGACGGAAAAAATAAATAAAAAATGATAGATTAAATCTAGAAAGATAGCTTAAGAACTAAAGGTGACATAACTAAAAATGGCAGAAGTAAGGAAGGGACAATGATAGGAAAAAAATTATATAAATATGACAATGAAACTAGAAAGATGATAAAGGATAAAATAAGCAAAAAATAGAAAAATATATAAATATCACACACACACATACATTTATATATTTATATAAAAAATATATGATTAATGTGAGTAAAATTTGGCATATAACTGATGGGTTTACTTTCAATATCCCGACTTCATAGTTTCGTAGACTGACCTGTTCGTCCAGGGGATATCAGCATATATATATATATATATATATATATATAAATATTATTCACACACGCTCTATCTCTGATATTGAGCACTTTATCCCATAAATATAGCATATCTTAAGACTATATTTCTTCATATATATATATATATATATATATATATATAATCAGAGGATCAGTTGAATCCACTACCTTAGTTTCAACCTTACGGTTCCTCAGTCGATTTTTATCAAATGACCGCTTAACGCTCTATTTTAAAAAAAACTAATGAACACTATATTTTTTTAAAATAAATAAACAAACTCACGACGTTGGGTGTAATATAAATGGAGGAGAAGGATGTGAAGAAGGAAAAAGGAGGAGTTGGGGGAAGAGAAGAAAGCAAGCGTATTATAAAAGCATCTGCGGGGGTTAATTGAAATGTACATTTCTTTTTATCCAGATTCATATGTGCTTAAGAGGAATTTCTTAATATGTATGCAAGGACTCAAGACTTCGGATTTCTGGCTCAAAACGTTCTTTGGATCCGGAAAATATATATATATATATATATATATATATATATATATATATATATATATATATATATATATATATACGGAAAGGTGATAGAAATAAAGAAGTCTGCAAAAGTATAAAGAGCTGACAGAAAAATAGGAAAAATGTCAGAAACATGAAAAGAAAGCCAAATCAAGGGTTTAAGCAAAAAGTAGAATAAAATAAAACGAATAGGCGAATAAGTGAATGAAAGTAAATTATATGAAGCACAGAGAATAAAAGCTCCATTAAAATAAAATAAAAAAGATGGATGTGTGTTTCATAATAACCAAAGAATAATTTTAGCATTTAGCGACAACCAATGTTTAAGAATCCACTCTAAAAAAGAATGCACGAGCCCAAAAGAGGAACTGATAGCGAACTTACAAACAGAAGGTGGAATAACAAAGGGGTGATTTCGGCATACAGGACACGACAGAAATACCCCACATAATTGTAAGACGTCTTCGCATTATGTGGAAGGTATTTCTGCCGCACGCTGCATTAAAGAAAATGAAGGAATACAGATGAAAAGCAGTGGTTTTTACAACTTGATCCAAAATTTCTTCCGTGCATTTAGCTTCAGTAAATCACTATCTCACTCTTTTGTCTTAAACATTTTTGCTTTATAAATAAGCAATGTCGAAAATTAAATAGATTTCGGTATAGCTTTTGTATTATATAAAGTGATATAATTTGGGGGAAATTAGAATAATCATTATAGTAATTCATCGAGTCTAGAAGAATACTCAACTTAATGCAGAAAGCACTGGACAACTGTTTCGTCCTATTTGGGACATATCAGTAGTGTGCATCCACTACCGAGAATTAAACCCAGACCGTTACAAGTTGTGCCCCAAGAGCAACGTCTTCCTTCCCCTTAACGCTCCATCGCAGAGCATTGGCTGGGTCAACCAAGGATACAACTCGTTAGGTTTGAATAGTTAGATGATTATCACCATGAAATCTGTGAGTAGCGGCGCTATATCGAATCTAGTCAGTTTCTTCTTCGTCATCGGGCCCGTTGGTCCAGTGGTGTGACACTTGCGTTGTATCATAAATGTCCGGGTTCGATTCTTGGTAGTTGATTCGCACTGTTAATGAGTCCCAAACAGGACGAAACAGCTGTCCAGTGCTTTCTGCCTTCTGTTAAGGATTCTTCTAGACTCTATGAATTATATATATATATATATATATATATATATATATATATATATATATATTGTTTATCAGTTACATATAAAATGAAGAGATAACGTTGCTCTCTCTTTCTGTTGTAGAATTTAATAATTTGTTTTGTATTCTAATAAATTTTGCTTGTTCTAAATTTTCGATTTCTTTGAGCGATTTTTATTACAGTGGTTTTTAAAGTAATATTAAAGTTTCCAAATATTTACTTTCAAAACGTCTGAAAAATCAACGTTAGAATTCAAAGTATCACGATTAAGAGAATTCATTTAAGAAACTAAAAACACTACCGCGAATTAAGTATTACCCATAATTTTATTAATAAATATATTTATCACCTTTTAAAATATGTATCTGCTTGTGAGGTCCTTCATTCTCCAGATCTAGCTCTATAATCTATTTTAGAGTTGGCAATTCTGATCGAAATTTGGAAGGTAGATACGAAAAAGGGAGGAGCTCACTGGAGTAGCTGGCTGGCGGTTCGGTTGATTTGTAGGCTTGCTGACTGGTTGCATGTGACAGAGAATCAGCGGTGTGATAAGTAGGTCATTCGATCGATACTTGAACGTTACATGCAATTCGATAAATATGAAAGAGAGGGAAAGAAAAAGGAAAACAGGCAGATTGAAAGAGAGCTAAGCCGTAATCGGAACTGGAGGAAAATCAGGCGAGCGAGAGAAAAAAGAGACAGACGTTTTGCATCTGAAAGAGAGTAGGAAAGGCAAAGCGGAGAAAGCTATTCATAAATTTAAATGCGCATGCGTGCACCTTCTCCGAAAGAAAGAGAGAGAAACGGAGAAATGAATGTGTGTTTGCAAAAACAAATATACGCAAGTAGTTAGTTAATTTACAGGCTGTGTTTCTGAACTGTCAGATTATACAATACTTTTACTGATTTGTGTCGATTACAAAAGGGAAGTAATCAGGTAGACGAGCGAAAATGCCGATTTTCAAGCAATTTCAATGTGAACATTTTTTTCAAATAACCTTGTAGAATATCTAATTTCGCTTTTATGTTCAAACAAGTTTTACTAGTACAAACAGACAAAATTAACCGAGTGATGATTAATTAGCATTGGTCTTTCAGCGAGTAAGAGTCGCAGCGTAATTATGCGAGTGATAATTTATGACAGCATGGGCTATTTTTTTTTTCTTTTTAAACCAATTCGCTCAAGCAAGGTGATAATGCCACTAAGACGCGAGGGATTACTACGAATGAAAAAGAATGAGAAGACCTTAGGAGGAACCGGAAACTCAATACTAAACGGGAAATAAGTCACAAATATTTACTCCTATTTAAAAGATTAGGAAAGAGTGAATCTGAGAATAGGCCAACCTATCTACTCCTATAAAGGAAAAATAAATAAATAGTAAAAAAAAATTCAGAGTTTAGGCGGAGATGTTAAAAGTGCAGAGTTGAAGTAGACATAAGAAGTAAAGAGCCAATACTAAACGGGAAACGAGTGATAAACCTTCACTCCCGATTAAAAGTCTAGGAAGGTGTGAAAATCGTAGGATAGGTGAAACTTCTTTGCTCCTATTGAAATTTTGTATATATTTCCGAATATGGCACAAATCTGTTTGATGATTTCAGTTGATTTAAAATGCGACTTCAGTCCTCTTTAGAATTAAAGGATACAGATTAAATCCATACAATATGAACTTCATAAACTGAATTCCAACGAACAAGATTCCCATTGTGTTTTTTGCTTCCCGAAAGAGCAAATAACAAGTAAATGGAAGTTGCATTGAAACAAAGATTTCGATCATTTCCCACTCAGGAGCATTATTACTAAATCATACTAATTGTTCAAATAAGCACAATTCTTTAGTTCCACCAGTTCAGACGTTTACAGATAGAACACGCAATGGAAGTCAAATCATACTTGTTCCTCCTAGAAACGTTTTAGTCTCAAAAACTGCCACTTTGACTCTTGTATGGGTGCTTCCTTGAAGATTTAAAACTTTACCTGTTCTAGTAAGTCATCGTTTCCTACTTATGCCATGACAAATGCTCAGATGAGCTCCATTCTATAGTGCCATCAGCTAAGACATTTACTATGTCTACGGGATTAATCCCTCTTTTTCTTTATTTATTCCGTTGTTGGGGAATAGATTCCTACGGGGATACTTCCCTGAAGACTAAAGTCTTCAAATATAGGGTCAATCATAATCTTTTCTCCATAGGCTCATAACTTTCACTTCCTTTTCTTACGTTTGCATCACACGTTCAAAACTCTCTACCTTTGGTGGTTTGGGAGATTTGTATTGTGTGAAAACTTTAGTAAAAAAACAAAAAATCCTTTCCATATTTTCAACCACCCATTTATATCGCACAATACATTCAGCACTGTCATTTTGACAGTAAGTCTCTATATAGAATGGCTATTGGGCCTTGTATTATTTTTATATGTAACCTTGATATTTGAGTTGAAAAAAGTTTGTTTTGTTTGCCATCAGAAGGGAAAGGAGCTTTCATTCAAGAGAAATAAATTTCTTTGTTCTGTGAATATTGCATAACGAAATGTTTTTATTAGTATACTCTAAAGGGCCTAATACAAGGGGGTGTTTTAATAAATGGGGGATTGGTGTTGAAAAATGATTTAGAGGGTCCAAAATTTAGAATTTAAGTAAATAAACTTTTTTTTATGTAGATGTGGTGCCGCTCCGACCTTAATGATTTATCTTCTATTATACAAAACGAACAATAATTTTTGTGTGCAAAATATCCAAGTATATTTTTTCTGTCTGAACATTCAATTCACAACACAAAACTATTTGTTTCGTTCGATCTTGTATTTTTAAGAAACTTAAATTTTTAAAATATCTAAATATTGAGATTAATTGTTTAATTAAGCAGTGATTTAATTTTTGGATTTATTAAACAAAAACCCCAAAACTTTGTTCAAACAAATTTTACATCATTGATTTCAAATGCAGTGCTCATCATTTTATCGCTCATTTTCAACTTATATTAGAAATATTTATTGTTAGCTTTAGTCAGTTACGCAAAGCAAAATGGAGGAGTGATACAGTAAAGTCGATGGAGAATGTCAAACAAGGCATAAAGCCTGCCTTCGTAGACCAACTTCAAATCCAAACGTTATTATAATTAAAAAAAAAAAATCAGCTAGGATTTTAAGTTTTTCTTTTTTCTTTTCGTCTAATATTTTACAGACATCCGCATGTTTTGGTCTTCTTGTTTAATAGATCTTTCACCCGATATCTTTGATTGCATAAACAATTAATATGGATAGATTTAAAGCAACCTTTCAAAGTTTCTTTAGAAAATAGTTAATATCGAAAAGAAAAATGTTTTTCTCGTCAACTGAATGTTTAGAAAGGAAAATGTGTCAAACGGTGGTTTCTCCTACAAGGAGGGACGCTGTAGTAGAGAACGTTTTTATAAAAATTTCCCGAGTGCGCAAACCAATAGACTTAATACATTCATATTACGTCTACCGTCCGTAAAAAAAAAAAAAAAAAAAACATGTTTCGTCTATTTCAAACACCAATGTTCACTAAAAATTGAGGCTTGTAGTAATAAAAAGGAAATTTATACTTTATCTTTTGGCAGTAAAAGTTAAGATATAAATAAAGTATTCACAATACAATATTGAATGAACAGACGCAGAGAAATGTATTTCTACTCTTTTTTCCCCTCTATTACTTATATCTAATACCTTCAAACATTTCTACGAACAGAAAAATAAATTAAAAACAATAAAATAATGTGATTTCATATTATTTTTCTGCCCTGGGCATCGTTGAAATATATTTCTTATGAATTATTTGATCAATGCTTATTGTGAAATTTCTTTCCTTTTATTTATATAAAAGTAATGTGTATACTTTTTTTTCCAGGTAAGTTCCCGTGGAATTAATACATTTTCTACTCTTTGCAAACATCATAACATAGAGTGTCTGTCTGAGAAATATGGTATGTATAAAAGTTAATGAATATTGATTTATTTGATAAAATCAAGTCTTCTAAATTTTATATATATATGTATATGTGTATATATATATATATATATATATATATAATTGATATTTATTTTGTGTACTTGTTTTACATTTGTGCATGTATTTCTCATAAATAATTGCTTATATAGAGAGACAAATTGGAGGCATTGAGATTTTTCCGTGATTGACATCAAGATCCTCAAGTATAGCTAGCTTCATACTTGGAAAGGGAACGTAGGTAGACCATTGCTCATGCTTAAAAAGAAATTGAAACGTAATCTTGCATTTAAGACCTTTGAGCAGGTGGCTTCGGATCGTAAGGAGTGGATAGCGAGTTGTTTGATAGCATCACTGAAGTAAATACCTTGTCATTACCATATACCTGATCTTGCAACCCTCATTTTTGCACCATTTCTGGATTTTTCTGAAAATAAGAAATCCTTCCAATAATAATATAATATTTGCGTAGGGTAAAACGAATAAAGGTATTTAATGCTAAGAATATTTATCCTTTGTTTTTATTGTTACGTTTCCTAATTTGAAACCTTGGTGTTCAATTTTCGCTTTTAAAAATAATCTTCCATTTTAACTTCCATGTTCCTCGTTGCCACTTTTTTAATGTCAACGAATGCTCATTGTCATTTCCGTGATGCTCGTTGTAGTAGAGACTTTGTAATCGCAGATACAAGTATAGTACGCCTTTGAACAATACTGGTGTCAGACGCCCTCGAATAACACTCGCACTAACAGTACTTGCACGATAATACTGGCTCGAAAAGTTACCACCGAATAGTGATCCGAATACTAATCCGTATTGTGATCAGTATAGAGAAATAGTATAGTGAATAGTATAGAGAATAACCACTCCAGAAAAAAATTTAACCGTGTATAGTGCAACCCGTCACCGAAAATGTTTGATTTTTAATTTCTTCAAAACCAATTTACTTGTGACTCCCAATTTTGGGCGAAAAAAACTGATCATAAAACATCCCTTTAAGTATATACGGTATTACCTAAACAAATACACGCGTGAAAGTTTAAGAATTGTTCTTGCTTAATTTGCGACCGGAAAATTAATTTGCAATTAAAAAGCTGTTTTCTTCTAATGACAATTTGAATGAATCATTCCCGGTAACTCTAGGCAGCAGCCACGCCTGCATTATGCTTGATTGACAGCTTCATGGTCACCAAATATGTTTGTTCACTTTGGATTGCTTTTTAATAGATAATAACAAGCCATCCGTTTAATTAGCAGATGCATTAGAAAACAAAGAATTGAAGATGAAATGGTATCTTTCAACAACAGGGATATTAACGATATAAATTAGAACAAACGTTATCCGTGTTTGTTGACGAAAGAAGAAAATTAAGCAATGTGTAAGGGTGAAGATCAATGAAGATCACAGTAGAAAGGGAGTGAATGAGTGTTTGAAGAGACAACCTATAAAGGATTACAATTTGAAAGATGAATGTAAGTGAAGTTGGATGGAAAACAAATGAAACAAATAGATATTAAATAGAAACACGACGAAAAAGATTTCGTATAAAAATTGTAGAAATGAAAAGAATTATAAGAATGTGTGATTAACAAAATCTTCTCAGGCCTACCAAGGTGACAAAATATTCAGATGTTTGGTCATTTGGTTTAATTTGGAAAAGTGGGTTGGACTGAGAACTTTTCAGCACCACCTCAGAGAAAAAAAACAAAAAAAGGTGTGAGGAGGGAAGCGAAAGTGCATCAGTATAGAGTAAGATATTACTGAAAGAGAAACTGAAAAAGAAAACATTTCTCAAGCAGAGAGAGCGAGGTAGAAAACCCTTCAAGGAGAGAAACCTTCGAAGAGTGAGAGAGAAAAAACCTTCGAAGAGAGAGAGAGAAAAAACCTTCGAAGAGAGAGAGAAAAAAACCTTCGAAGAGAGAGAGAGAGAAAAAAAAACCTTCGAAGAGAGAGAGATAAAAAAAAAACATTCAAAGAAAGAGAGCGAGAAAAACATTCAAAGCGGGAGGGAGGGAGGATAACCTTCGAAGAGAGAGAGAGATCTAGGGAGAAATAACTTGATGAAGAGAGAAAGAGCGAGGGAGAAAAACCTTCGAGAAGAGATATAGAAAAAAAATCAAGGAGAGAAATAGAGCGACCAAGGAAGAAAACCCTCGAGCAGAGAGAAGAATACAATATGTGGAAAAAATGCTTGCAGCTAAAACAGATAATCTTCCGAGGGAGAAAAATTGTGAGAGTGAGAGTGAGAGAGTGAATGAATGAAAGAAAATATACTAAGATGGGTTAAATAAATGTCTGGGAGAGGGAAAGTGAAGGAAGTAGAAATAATTACATAAGAGGGTCAAAGAGAGATTTTCATGTAAGACAGTGGGGAATAAACTATTTTTTTTAAAAAGCACCATATACATAATATATACATAAAATATACAATAGAAGATCTAAGAAAAAAAATATTCAGAAACACTATTTAAAGAATCCGGGTTGCATACTTTCAATATTATATTATAAACGTTCTGAACCAAGATAAAAAGATAGCTAAGATAATCGAATTTTCTCTTACTTCTTTTCTTGCCAAACCTGATGCTGGTCGAGCTTTAAGTATTATATAGACGATTTGAGTGCACACATTTTGTGTCACTTCTTCCGGCGCCAATAACTTTGGCCTCATCACGATGCCGCCTGTGGCTTCACAATACACAGAAAACGATACTTCCCTTGAACCAGAAATAAATAATCAGTGATTGGGCTTGGATATTTATAGCTGTTTTTGTTTATTTAATGCTGTTTCTATTCCCAATTTCGGTTTGTTGTATGCTTTATTTACATTTCTTTGCTCTTTATGCTTTGTTGTTCTTCCTTCCAGATTTTTAATCAAAGGTTTTTCTTATCCTGTCCTCTTTTTTTCCTTCCTCTGAGATTTATTCCGCTTTTGTTTATTTTTAATTCCTCTCCATTTTTTTTTCTTTTACGCTTCTGTCTCTTTTTCAATCTTTTCCTTTCTCCCTTTCTTTTCTCTCGTCTTCTCTCTTTCTTTTCTCTTTCTTTTCTCTTTTTCTTTTCACCCCCTTTTTTCTTTTCACCCTCTCTTTTTCTTTTCACCCTCTTTTTTGTCTCTCTCTTTTTCGCTTTTCTGTCGTTTCTTTCCTTAACTTCGCTTTTAATTCCACTTCCTTTTCTTTTTGTCTTATTTGTTCTTCCTCTAAGATTTTTCCTTTTTCAGTTTTCTTTTGTTTTCCTGCTAATGTTTATCGTAATTTTTTTTAATATTTCCTTCATAATTTTCCTTTCATTTTGCTCTTTCTCTCATATTTATTTACCCTCTTGCTCTTTCTCACACTAACACAATATCACGTGTATTTGTCACCCAGTGTGGTTTCGAGTAGTACTGAATGCGAGTCTATCTTGCTAAACACTATTCTACGATAAAACGCTTTCCTTTCATGATAATTATTTCAGCTTCTTTTAATCAACTTCTCTTTCTTTTCCTCCCTTGTTATTAATGTAAACAACTCACCAAAGTGAGACTCTCGCAGACCCCGTCATCAGCAATTTAGCTTCTCTGAACTTTAAAAAAACAAAAAAACATTGATACCTGGTAAGTGGGGATGCTCTCAGAGACAGTAATTTCCCACTGCATTGAGAAAGTATGATCAGAGATACATTCTGATGATGCTTGTTACAATACCGGACAATTTCTGAATAACCTTAAACTGGATGTCGTATCGAGTGGATGGACTACCTCGCTACTACTAAAAATTACAATGTATCATGTTTATACTTTAGTGGATTGACAAAGACGCAGACATGGGAATTTCAAACTTTGTTACATAAGAGAATAAACATTTTTCTAAGAATGTAAATTAACGGGTTCTCAGTGCATTTTTAATACTTCAAGCTACCAAATATTTCACTTTTAAGTATTGGTCATCTATTTTCTCTCATTAAACCTTCACCTTGGAAACCTTCAGATTTGACTCATCAGAAATGACAACGTCTAAGATGAATAAAATATTGAATGATCAAATTAAAATACTAGCTGGTTTTATTTTCATTTAAAGTAAAATGCACACTTTCCCCCCGGTTTTTTTTTGTACAGGATTAGAGGTTCATCCCTTGTTTCCTATTTAAAATTGGGTTACCGGTTCCTTCTAAAGTCTCCACCTAAACTTTGACATTTTATTTACTATTTATTTTCCTCAATAGGAGCAGATATGTTTGCCTACCGTCCGTCTCATACTCCACGTCGGTCATTTCAACAAGAATTAGAGGTTTAGACTTTGTTTCTAGTTTGAGTTTCCAGCTTCTTCTAAAGTTTTCTCATTCTCTTTTTACTTCCATTAGCCCCTGACGTGGTAGTCGTATTATCGACTTGCTTGAGGTGAATTGATTAAAAAGAAATACGAAAATGGAAAAGTTCGTGATATTGTTGTTGTTGTTTTTTTTTTGTTGTTGTTTTTTTCCTTTCTTTCTCTCTCACTCTCAACATTCTCGTGGCCAATTGGTTCATTTAAGCAGAATGAACATTTCCAGAATCACTGTTGCTGAATCGAAGAATCTCTTTTCATTTTCTTAATGGATTCAACTAAATAAAATCAACCTATGTCAGCATATTTTCTCCCTCCAAATCTTGTCTCAATTTAAGATCCAGATTGAATGAGGCGAGATCACTAGCTCTCGTCAAAATCAGCCAATGCTCCAAAATCATTGACCTGACTACTAGAGTAATATCAGCATTGTCATATGTACATGTATATACATCTTTTATACAGTATTTCTGACATCAAGTCTTCTATTTTTCTCTTCTGAAAATAAACTTAACTCTTATTGTATTGTATATTAGTTGGATGTTTTAAATAGACAAACAAGCCAAAATACATTTTGATTTTTTTTAAATATTGTATATGCCGTTAAACAAACAAATCAATCAACCAATCGAACTATTGTTCTCAAATCTGATTATCATTGATATTATTGACTCGAGGTTTCGAGCGATTTCTCTCTGGTCATCTTCAGTTATCCGCTATGTTGTCTATATGAGATATTTTGTGTTAATTATTGCTATTTTCACCCCCCACTATGATACCTGGAAAAAGACACATAACACAAGCAGTGCTAATTTTCTGATCATATTAAAAGTGACTGGGAAAAAACAAATTTATAACTCAAACGACCAGCATGATTCCTGTCGTCAGTTTAAACAGAAATAGAATTTAACTAATTTATTTTATTTTTTACTCTGACTGCAGCATATTTTACTTTTTGTAACTTTAGTTTTAAAAAATCGGAAAATTCCAGAACAGTAAATGTTTCAACAGAAACTCATATGTAAACGACGCTTATTTATACCTAAGATGAGTGAGGTACGAAACCTATTATCTACTCGTTCAATTACTACGTGAAATTTTGTTATGCTTTTCTTTACATAAATCCAAGCAACAAACCTATATTAAATATTGTGAGTAACTAGGCAAATCTGCTATGTTTCGCCGAACGATTTGAATTTTAAGTGGCGAGTTTCTTGACTGGGCGATTACTGCATCCAGGCAATATGCATTTAAAGCATTCAGTCACCAGTAAAACGCCAGAAAATATGGAGAAACATTCATGGCCACATCGATAAGGACTGTTGCCGAACAATCTATCATTTCTCTCATATAACAGGACTTAATTATGAAGTTTGAAAGATCCTATTCCTGAAATATTTCCCTGTACTATCAATATCAGCATATGACGTGAAATCGGTTAAATATCTCGACATCAGCTCCAAGGCAATCATTAATGTTTTCATCACTGTCTTGAAATTCAATCCGATCCACTAGCGGATTAAGACCTAAATTTTATAAAATATGACTTGTTTTTTCAGAGATTTATATAAAAAATTTCTTAAGGGGTATCGTTATTTTTAAATGGCATGGTGTTGTCTAATCTTTCTATTTATCTCTTTTTCTTAATCTCCCCTATGGATCATAGGGCCACAACCTCACCGCGGAAAGTGATGCTTTTGCAGTTTCAGTAGCAAGTCGGTTTTAATATGGTGAAGTTGCCAGCCCCACGACATAAAGACGTTTAACTTGGTTGCGTTGTACTTCTGAGCTTGTTGCCAACTAAAGGGCATTGTTTACTCTTATATTTAACCCATAGTTGTGGGGAGAATACATAGATTCACATCTTTTTCAATGTTATATGTGCGAAAGTAAACTCAACGAATTCGGCCGTCATTTAAACTTTGCTCGCCGCTATATCTTTCCGTGCTGCTAACCATTACAATGCCGACACACCCGTTGTTTACTAGAGGCTATTTAAATTGCATTTACAAGCCGTAAACATAAAAATATGTCCGTGAGCAAGACGTGAAAATTGAACTATTTTAGTACAGTTTATTTAATTACAAGATCTTTCTCTGTGTGACGTCATATCCCCACATCGTCACGTGGGACTCTTCAAAATATCGTCAAACGATTCAGTTGTTTAAAACATCTACTAGACAGTCTGTAGGAATATTATAAACAGTCTGAATTAAAATATATATGTATATATAAAACCCCACTCTCTCTATCTATCTCTCTCTCTCTCTCTCTCTCTATATATATATATATATATATATATATATATTAGTGTATTTGAGAAACAATTTATCTCTAATCTATGTTGCACTGAAAAAGCAAATGACAAAATACTTTTGTTAGATTTTTCTTTTGTAAACTGTTTATATTCATTAAGTTCAGAAAAGTGAACACTTGTATATTACAAGAAAATTATAATTAAAAAAATATAAAATTTTCTTTTCAGTATTGTCCAACAAAACATACATACTCATTAATAAAATAGTTTATTTATCTTATTTAAATCTGTATTCGGAGAATCATGTCTTTCTTACATACAATCTTCAGGGGGATTTTTGAAAGTTATCACTTTTTTTTAAAGATTCTATTTTATTTTCTCTTAAAACATGTTATTTTTATTATGATGTAAATGGTTTAAAATTCTTACATTGTTTTTTTTTTCTGGATATTCCAAGCTCTATTGAAAGACAATTTCTCCCGACCCAATTTTATTTTCGTTCTGGTAAGGGAGATGCAATGATGGCATATATGTCATCAAACAACTCCAAGAAATTTCTTAACTCTCTAATAGAAAACTCTGCACCTGCTTTATCGACCTCACATCAATAAAGAGTTCTTCTTCTTCTTATCCATTAGAAACCGCCTTCCAAGCTTCGAATCCATTGAATGCATCAATACAACAGAGGAAGAACAAGGAAGAACTGAGAGCCCCTGACTATTTAATCTCTGACTACATTATTCTCTGCGCATTTACGAACAGATGTGATGAAGTGAACACGGAAAATTTAAGGATCCCATACCGCATCTCTAATTAGTCTACCAATAGAAGACAACGATACTACATTCTCTCGGGAGGCCAATGTACTCATGATGAGAGTGAGTGGGGGGCTATTCTAATGACATAGGTATTCATAGTTGGAATAACAATGATGTTGAACATAAAATCAGCATCGTCTATTATGTGTGTCAAGAAATGGGAATATGATAAACCTTTCCAAAACAGAAACAACTGGAATTGGAATGAAAGCATTGATGATATCTACCCTGGATGCATCATATAAATCCAGTATGTAGAATTAGTAAATACTAAACACTTCAGATACCT